CTTGATGAGTTTCTCATCAAGAATGGCCTGATCAGACTAAGATCAAGCTCATCAGGTGAAAACCCGATGTAATCTACCTTAGATGATTCGGATCAGAGTAACTTGATCAAAACTTGATCAGTTCTTCATCAGGTATCACCTGATCAGATTAAGGTCAAGCTGATCAGATCAAACCCTGACCTGAATTCACCTTAAATATTTGGATCCGAGTAACTTGATCAAAACTTGATCAGTTCCTCATCAGACATCACCTGATCAGGTAAACCTGACAAATACCGGATCAAATACTGATCCTACTTCAGGGCGGCCTGAGGCAATTTCCACTCGGGCAATGAACGGTGAAATCCACTTGTCGGGCGATGATGCAGCCGAAAAATAATGGAAATAAAAAAGTTAATGGAAAAGGCAAAACGGTGGATTTCGGTGGGATGTATGGACTAATAAAATAAACTCACGATCAATTTTATTTTTATTTTTTAATCCACTGCTCGGATTATTGCACTGACGTAACGGTCTCCTTCACATAAAATAATCGGTATAAAAATTTTCCGCGGATTTCGGTAATTTTTTTGGGTCACTGACCCAATTTGTGGAGTTTTGTTCGCCAGGAGGCCTTCTGAGCGGTAAAAATTTAATGGATGAAATAATTTCAGAGGTCAGAGGAGCAAACAGACGAGCGATAATAGGCCGTCCCAAATAAAGAGGAGAAAGGGGAGATAAATCTCGAGCCTTGAGGATTAAGATAGGACACAGGAAAAGAAAAAAAGCAATCGAAGACGTACCCCTGGGATTTTCGTGCTGTTGTCTGCAGGGGGTGGCGGTGGTGGTGGCGGCGGTGGAGGGGGCGGCGGCGGTTGCCGGCGTCGAGAATACGAACGACGTAGTGGTGGCGGTCGGGGTGGGCGGTCATCAGGTGTCACAACCATCAGCTCCTCTGTCGCGGGGAGCGCTGGGGGCTGCGGCCCCGTGGTGGGGCTCCCCTCCTACAAGAAACGACAAGGTATCCATTTTTTTCTTCTTCAAATGTCCGACATAGATGGACCACATTTGAACCATTTTTCCGATTGCGATTTTTCCACTCTCAGAGCACATGATACTGAATCCCGATGATTAGTACAACTTACAGAATGATTTGGACTCTCAAAAATTTTGGGACAGTGTCCCAAATTTTTTTTACTGCAAAATACCCTCAGATACTCATATATTATGATTCAAGAAGTTCGTGCACGTGTTTGGAGCAAAAAAAAAAATTGGGACACTGGCCCAAAATTTAAAAAATGTTGTCAATTAGTCAGGGAATTGATTCTTTCGCATTTATACCCAAAAAAAATGATCACGTCCGATTATAAGGGAGCTCAGCAGCATGGGGTCGAGGTGGACGTGGACGTGACAGAGGTCGCGGGGGTGGAAGTGGAGCACCTCCCACCGGATATCGTCTGGATTCAGGCGTTACCCCCGCGAATTATCCATCAGGACTGCAGAGCGTTGGTCCCGGATTTCGGGAGGTCGTGAACATCCTTGGTGCAAGAAATCAAGTGGGTACATTGACTGGCGTTGGGCCACCACCCGGCGCCGAAGAGATCGACGAGGAGGAGGACGAGGAAGAGGGTATAACCCCCAAACGACCGCCGAGGCCATTGTACAGAAGATTCATTAACTACGTACGTCAGGCGTGGACAGGCGTCAAATTTGCATTAGGTAATTAACACTCTATTCTGCTTTTTGCTTCTCTTTACGAATTATCGCTTTTTCCCTACTTTGTCCTAATTACCCTAATTACGATAAAGCTCTCAAATAATTGTCCCAATATTTATTATTTCTCAATATCATAAGGTAATTTCGTAGCTCAGTAATGCCAACTGTTTGTGTTCCATTTAATGTTGTATTTAATGACTCCAAGTAATAAATGGGACGCGTTGATTAAAAACGGTGCGATTCAGGGGATCGCAAATGCGACGGAGCGAATGGTGGTGAATTAAACGTGAAGGCTTCATAACCCGATTAATACACCTCCAGGATCAATGATTCTTCACGAGAATAAATAATCGGCACCACAGGCAATAACACAGCGGGTGATATTCGAGTTGTTCGGTGATATTGACTGGATAGATTTCCCCGGAATGCCTTTTCATTTTCATCGTGACGTACAAACGTTGCTTTGTCATATTTCCCGAGTATTTATAACGGTTTACTGTCGCAACTCCTGTGGTTTACTATCGAAAAATCGTCAATTGTGCGCCCGCACCTGCCATCAACATCACAGAGGCCACATATTGTACGTCAACTTCCTCGATTTGGCTATTCGGGTTATAATAAATTGGGACACGATAAAGAGAATCAGTTACCCCGTGTTTCGTCGCCATAAAATCGTATTTATACGTTATGATGTATTTTTTTTTAATTTCGCAGACTCGGAGTACGAAGAGGAGCAGACACCTAGGTACAGGCCAGACTCGTTGGCAAGTCTCTGCAGAGCGACAAGATTTACGGAGGCGGAGTTGAAAAGAATATACAGGGGATTCAAGGCCGAGTGTCCCACTGGTGTTGTCAGAGAGGACACCTTCAAATGCATTTACTCACAATTCTTCCCCCAAGGAGGTGAGAAATATTTTTGTGTCGTCACTAGACATAAATTTGTCATCTCCCGTGATAATCTCGGATTCTATTGAATTCCACCGAAAATTATTCTTGTGTATTTGTTATCTCTTCTTCTCAACATTTCTTCATTATTTCTTTTATCTCATTTTATTTCAATAATTATCTTCATTTTTTTGTTTTTATTTTTTTATATTAATGATATTTATGATATTATTGTGAAAAAAATTATTTATATGAGGTACGTCGTGGGGTGAAATGCGGAAATTCGGAGATGTTTCAACTATTATTTATTAATTACAAGGGAATTATCAGGTGCGTCTTAGCCAGAGCTCCGAAGAGAATTAATACAATATTTATTTTAAAAGAGATTCGTTACTAGAACTGCTTTTTGATCTCTTACGATTGATGACTGAATGACAAGAGAATTGAATTCCAAGAGGGACACGTAACACCATAAATTCCTTCTGAATAATGAGTCCACAAAGAAAATTGAAAGGAAACAACTGATTCTGGCCCCAAAAAAATGGCAGCCTTTTATCTTCCTTTTATTGTACACCAGTCGAAATCAGTGCCAACATGGGGTCAATATGGGGTATGGGTTCGAAGGGAAGTAAAACCGAATATTTACGATGTAGAGGCACGTAATAAAAGTGTCCAAAGGGGCTTTTGAGTAAATGGAATACGTCGATACATCTTCGCAAGCCGTCTGCAATCTCCGAGTCCCTGGATTTCATCCATTCCCGAGATTCCTGGTGTGCCTTCACCGAAAGTAACCCAGGAATGCATAAGTAATTCCTTGCCTTAATCATTATCTCTCTTTTTTTCATAATCCTCTATTTATGACTGCCATGAATATTCCGAGCGCCTCTGCTCTTTTTATTCATCCAGCCCGACACAATTCCATAACTAACGGAGGATAAAATGAGGTGAGGCTCGTAACTGTCACCCTATTTTTTTAAACTAGAAACGTACCGACCCGCCATCTACAGTGACGCTTTGGTATCGCATCTGTAGGATTATTACACGAATTTTGCGGACGGTGTAATCAAAAGTGCAATCAGTGCCCACATGGTACATGGTAGTAGTAGAAAAAACGGATTAATGCTGATTACTCGATTCTAATGTGTTTTCATTTCAGTCGAGTCGGGAATTACGTCTGCAGGGGATGAACCTTTTTTCTTCCTCTCTCATCAACTTTTGTAATTGAAAATTGTGATTTTTTTGGGGGGAGTGGAGTTAATGTTGGGTCCTGGGTGGAGCAGTTTATCAATTTACGGGGTGAGGTCACATGGAAAAGTAGAACAAAGCTTTGGGATGAGCTCGAGCGACTAGACGTTCGCGGTAATGAGTCAACCACGCGGGTGAACATATTTACCGGGGCTACCCCTAATTAAAGCTAAATTCAGCCTCTCTGTACACCAGTGGCTTGCGGGGACTCTTCAGTTTAACACTGGAATAATGGAATGATTTGTTTAATTGTCTTCGCCAAATGTTACGGGTGCGGATTCGGCGGGACAATTTAGCAGCGGAATTAATTGATTTTGAGTGTCTAGGGTATTGGCAAAATTGGGAAAAAAAATTTGGCGAGTGCATCAGGAATTTTTTATTGCAATTTTGCAACTTATGAATTTTTCTCAATTATTTTGTCATTTTTTTTTTTAGAAAATATTTCTTGTCTTGGGGTGCAGGAATTATTATAGTCGGTGGATGTGATGTTGATCTGAAAAAACAGCCACTCGGAAAATTCAATTGAGTCCCGTCAACTCTGAGAAAACAATAACGTTATTGTCAGCGTTTGTTTAGACAACGGGTGAACAAAGTACAGATAACAATGAACGATAAAACGTTTTCGCTTCTCACGATATCCGAATCGATTCCATCAGTTCAATCCGACTTATCTACAGTTTTTGATAAGACTTTTCGAATTTTCCCGCAGAAAATGTGATAGTCATTTTTACTAAATATTTGTAGATATTCGGGGGTTAGACAGAATTGAGAAAAAATATCATGAGCTTTTAGGGAAGGGAATTTTTTAAAATTTGGATTACAAAATATTCCGATTACAATTTTTTTTTACCCAGGCATTTTCCCGTGCAGCGAAAATAATGGGATATTAAATTTTTAAATAAAAATTGGAAACAGCCGATGCTAATGTCGGGAGATGCCGTCTGATAGTCTCCGCGGTTTTACTAGTCAGTATTTTCTTATTAAGTATCAAGCCGAGGCCACGTCCCCAGGGAAATTCAAACGGGAATAAAAGTGAAGGATCCCCGAGAAAAAGAGAATTCTCCGAGACGTTATCAATAATGAGATGTGGAGAGTCAAGTTTATCGGAGAGTAATTCTGTGTGAGTGTGGGCTCTGAAAATCCCATGAATCTTTATTCTTCCGCGATTTACAACCGCTGAAAAAAAAAAAATTGAAAACTGGGAAATGTCTGGTGTTGTTGGAGGCCTCGAGTGATTTATGAAGCTCAACGTCTGGAGAATTTTCTCTGCTTTTCATTCTAAAGAAATTTATCGAAATTTATTCATCGAAAATCCGCCATTCCCCTCTCCCGAAATTCCCCAACTCCCGCCAAAACTTTCACCGAGCAATTAATAACTTCAATTTTTCCCACGAAGACCGGAATAAATTGAAACCTGAATGTCAATCGATTTTCTCTCATCCATAATTGTATTCCGAAATTAATTGAGGATTATGGGTCTTCCGATCATTCTGTGGAGAAAATATAAAGTTTTATCTAAGAATTTCCGGAGGTCCTGTACCTCCCGTGAGTAATCCTCTTATCGTGGAGTGACTCTGATGATTTCCCTTTGATTACTCTCGCGCAGAGGATTTCATCCTGATTCCAGAAAAATCACGACAATTGTAACCCGCGAGTGACAAATTATTCTGCAAACCCGTTTTTATCTCGTAATATTCTTTGAGAATTCCCCTGTGGCGTCTGTCCCATTGTTATTTAAAGTTCGTTATCATTCATGCATGGGCATTCAGTCGAGGATAATCTCCCTGAAATGTTCATGCTCATGGACTGTGCGTTATTCAAGAAATTTTTCTCAGTCTCCAGGAATAATTTCAAATGAAAATCCCCAGTGGAATTGGTGAGCGTTGGCTGCTTTCATAATCAAATGAAAAATTGAAATCTCGGGGTAGATACATAGAATCCGGAAGCCGAACAGAAGTTTAAATGTAAATTCAAGTGAAACTTCCTGAGAAAATATTTGCAATTGCGGAGTACTGTCTGCATTTGGGGTAAAGCATCACCAAAAATGATTTTTGTAGTTTTTTTTTTGTACTAGAGTGATGTGTGATAATATTCAGTGACAGCCGATTAACATAAAATTTCGATGAATTTTTTTTCCTCGGTAATATTTCACTTCTTTTTCCCACCTGTCTCACCGTAATATTCTAGTTTCGCTGAGACCGAGCGGCAAATATCGCGTGCAGTATCCTAACATATTGAAAACGTCAGCCTATAAATGGAGAACAATCGCGAGAAGATCGAGGAGCGATGCATCATGCACGTGACACATATGTCAAGAGAGGGTTTTTTTTTTTTTAAATTCTATTGGGGATTTCTCTCGGAAGTGAAAACCTGAAATGAATTGATTTTCTGATTAATGCAGAACCATCGGACGTTCCAATTATACTCACCACCTGCCATTTTCTCGAACGATCCTTCGACAGTCATTACTCAGAGATTCTTCTGGAAGCCCTCGATCGATTGATTCGTGTCAAAAATTCTTATGTACGTCGAATTATCTGGAACGATCGATCACTTTTTTTTTCGTGATGTGCAGCCATAAATTATGGGCCGATGCTTGAGAATGATGTATGCATTTTTCATGGATTTTCATGGGGCAGTGAAGGCGGGAGTCAAAGTATTGAAGCATCCACCCGCCCTTCTGGTTCTGCACGACAATATATTTGAATTCATTTGATGTCAATACGTCAGCCCCGTGGACTCCAACTCCGCCTGGCGGTGGCGTCCCTATACTAAATTCATTCGAATAGAAAAAATCATCAAAAACTTTAATTCCAAATTTTTAAAAATACCAATTGATGATCTTTGTGTTTCAGCAAATACCAGTCAGTATGCGCATTACGTCTTCAACACGCTAGATCAAGATCACAGTGGATTATTGAGTTTTGAAGTGAGTACCTTCGTCATTTCCTTTACTATCTAGAATTCCATCTCGAAACAGCGAACGTCGCATCTCGTTATTCCCGAAATTCGATACAAAAGACGACGGAGGAAAGACAATATCAACTTTTCGAAGCGAATCGGAAAATATCGCGACACGATATATCGCCGTTCTCCCCCGAGTCTTCCACATCCTAAACTTCCGGAAACTCCTCTAATACCATTAGTCTTTCTCCTCTCTTCCTCAATTTGTATTCGTAGACGGAAAGTCTAGTCATGACTCCACACGTTCGATCCCCTCGCTTCTTCATTCGCCTCACCATTAATCCTAATCAGCAGTAATTAACTCCGATTGATCAATGATGAGGTCTCGGACCGACGCAGCTAACAAGAAAATCCGTTTTGAGACGTGCCACGTCTTAATTGAGAATTATAATAAAAAATTATCGGACTCCAGTGGAATTTCCACTGCCTCGTTCCTTCAATCGATAGGACAAATCAGTGCAGCGGACTCTCCAATTTCCAACATTTGGAAATCAATTTTCTTTTTTTTTCAGGGATCAACCCCGAAACTCCTGTCACCGATTAACTCGATTCAATGAACCTTCGGCTTTTTTTTTCAGAGGGGTTCATTGTTGGAAGTTGATGTGTACCCTGTTCGTACACTCCAATTACGAGAGCTCCGGAAAATTGAGTGAGAGCATCGGTACAAAGCGTTATTTACACTGAATTTCGTACGAAGGACTGAGAGATAATTGTTTTTTTGTATTTCGTACGAGCCATCAAGGTAGAGTGACTCCAATGACTTCTGCCCATTATTTATAATTGCCTCGCTCATCATCCGAACAAATGATGGATCATTATCGTACCATTTCACGGTTTATGACACGTGATAAACCGGTGGCTGATGGACTCTCAAAAATCATATCGTCCGTGAATATCCGTTGAGAAATGCCAAGGGAATTTTTTTTCGGGTGTGGATGACTTCGAAATATCAAGATATTGCTCAGTATTTCAATTAGGAGTGCTAATATTAGATAGCGGATCTCTGGTAATGAACTGGATCGAACCCTCGGGCCGCAGTCTGATTATTGTTGATATTCTGTGCTCACTCAGAAGGTATCAGTCATTAGAACCTTCATTAAAGTACTCGACCTCAAAACGCTTGGACGCCTCCGCAAAACTTTTCAATTATATTCCACATCAAGAATCTTTTATACTCCAACTACTTTTTATTCCACCTCCATTGATAATCCCACCCTCCTGCGGGGAGTTGGCAATTTCCTCGGCAGTTCCTCCGGTCTTCAATTTTCTTTTTTATCGGTGAAGGTCAAACCCAGGAGTCAATCTCCAACCGACGGAAATTACGGGAAAAGGCGCTCGCTTATCGCACCTTATGCAACTCAATTCTAGTCTTGGAAATGAAAAAAAAAAAAGAATTGTACTCTCGTGAGCACAAAGGATTCACGATTTTTTTATGGGGCAAGAAGTCCTGGATGGATTGATCTGACTTTTGAGTTTTAAGTTGAGAGAGATTTTTAGAGGGAAAATGAGGAACTGGAGATGCCTGTTGTCTTCGTCAATCAGCTCGTGCTAATGCACTGATTCACCGGCTCCAGTGTTCATATTCAACGTTGAACGAGTAGATGACACACAGGGTTGAGGGAGCTTTCGCAAATACGGAGATGGGGTTGCAGCTGGCGTAAACATTCAGCAGTATCTAGTCCTTGGTTCGTGCGAATAGTGTTGACTCTATGGAGGCACTGATTGCACGACTCTTGTCAACGTTTACTCAGGATTCGGGGTTAAAATCGTTGTTGTTCGTCGTTGAATAAACATTAGGGACCGACTCCTGAATGATAATACCGTTTTTGGGGGTTATAGGCTGTTTAGTGCAGTGACGCCACCGCGTGGCGGAGCTGGTGTTCACAAATTCAGAGTAAAATAGAGGCTGAAAACAAAGACTGTCTCTCTCTCCCAGGAATTACCTAGAATTACTTGTTCGAAGAATCCCAAAAGTCTCAGTTTCACTCTCTCGTGTCTCAGGTTCAGGACCGGTGAAGTATAGAATGCGATTTCTACCACTTGATGCAGCAAAATGGACTTGAGACACTGAACAATCGTGATAAAGCAATTGTCAAGTGGATGCTGGTGGCATTGTTTGTCGCTGTATAAAACACGAAGGGGAATCCCCGGTATCATTTCCTGACCCAGATCCACGGGTGTAAACCAATCCCCGAGCATTGCCCGAGTCCCTCGACGTACCTCATGCAATTTTCGACGCAAAGTTTAAATAAACTTTTCATCCACCAGTATTTTGGGATGATGTAGTTCATTTCGATGATGAAAATTTAAGATAGAATTACATCGGGTAGTCAGATGGGGGATGAACGAGTTGGGGATAAACCGAGAATAGGGTGAGGACCCGTGTCGTGAAAGCCAAGTTCTTAACTCAATTCGGTGGATATCTGGGAATACCAGTGGCATCGCTGATGTTCACCAACTTGTCATGCGTCTTCTAATCGGAAAGGGGGGAGAGGATTTTCGAGAAAGTTTACAAAAGCCGGGGGATATACCCCCGGCTCAGTCAGCAATTAACGCTGTCAATTAAGACTGAGTTTCACGATGCATGTGCCGGAGATAATGGCAACATTCCACCGGAAGAAATGGTTTTGTATTTACACCACTCGCATTAAGATAAAAATACCTTAAAGAGCATCTTAAAGAGAATGTTCCAGATTTTAAAATGAATGAAGATTAATTATACATTATTCATCAATTAAATTTCCCGTGAGCATGAGGGGTTATGATAATCATGGTACAGGGACGCCACCACAAGAGGCGCCCCCGGCGCGCATAAAATTTTTAATAGAATTCTTTCGAACACTCGAATATTTTATTTACCAATGCAAACAGCTAGAAATACGCGATTACCCCCTAGTTTCCATTTATATTTGCGGTTCAGAGTGCAATAGGTATGCAACGAGCTGTTAAAAAAACATGAGGAAAAGTGGAGGTAAAGATTCTGGTAACGGCACGTGCAGAATGGGGAGAAAAGGGAAGTTGAGGATGAAAGGGCGTGGGAAGCCTTGAACGTTGTATAAATTTCAGTTGAATCCCTAAACCCCAGCATATATCGCCACCCTGAACCGCTTAATCTTACTTACATCCTGAAATCTAAACTTTCCGCATCACGGAGGAATGCCTTTAACGCGAACATGACCGTTTCATCGTGTTCACGTCGGAAATTTCACGTTCATGTCTCGTCACCGGTTATTCCACCAAATTGATTAACCGCGATCTCATTACCCGACGGTGTCTGGATGTCTCTGGCAATTAATTGAGAAATTGATAGTGTCGATTGATAATTTGTGAGAAAAATTCGAGAAAGTGGAAAATGCACTTGTCTCTGGCGGCTCGACTCGAAGGAGAAACCGGGGAATAATTAAAATTAAATTTATGGTAATTTGTAGGTTTGAAACACTCGACTGATGAACTGAATTCTGGTGATGGCAGTGGATTACCCACCACTCACGGTTTGTGGCTAGCTCTGGGAATCTGTCTGCGGTCTTCTCAACTCCAGTCTGACCCATTTAAGATTTTTAATGAAGCCATCCCTAGAATGAGAAAATTAAAGTCGTGAAACGGCAAGAATTATCTAAAAACTTATCAATCTTTGACTGACAGAAAACATTAGCTGCGCCTCTTGGCGGTGGCGTCAGTGAACTAGGTGCGTCACAACCTCAAAATTTTTTCCAGAAATTCAGCTTTTACTTGAGACAACAACGATTGATTACAGCAGAAGCTTTTCAATTCACTTAATACCCTCCACTCGCATCTTCTGGGGGCATTGTTAGAGAATGTCATGGAGACAGGACTTGAGGGCTGAGGACTCCACCTCAGTTGGAAAAAAAGCACGTAACCTGGAGCTGTTGATGCGACAAATTGCCCCAAGTCACGTAAAAGAATAAAAGTGCCTCGGGCATCGGGTTGTTAAAGGCGAATAGCGTCGGCAGAATGATGCAGAGAATAGGAGAAAGAGGACAGATGTAGTTGTTTTTGGTGGATGTATTTAGGTTGAACCAGAGCCCCGAAAACTCTGGAGAATAACTGAAAAATGATGGCTCAGAGGCAGACTCCCGTGGATACCTGAAATTTTTATAATACTTTTTGAATTATTTTTTTTTTCCAACTGTATTCGTAATTTAGCTTTCCTCGTTTTATTTTGTTTCCATCATTGCTGATGCATATTAAACAGCGCAGATGGCGATGGGGAGAGGCATTCCGGGTTCTGACTAGTGTGGGCTTTTAGGGAATGCCGGAGGATATTTATCTCTGCGGTGTTATTGTTTTTTTTTTTGGCTTTCAAGTGCTTCGCGATTAACTCGGCCGAGCCAAATGCTGCATTTCAGGAGAATTAAACAAAAATTGGATTAAATTTGGAAGTGTTTCATGCTCGGAAGGCATCACGCGCACGATGAGATGTATAATAATAAAAGTTATCACTCTGATCATCAATTTTTTTATGTGGAAATTTCTCGTCGTACGTCAAACCTGTCCGTTTTTTGTCGGAATGCTTTTAAAATTCTCATGCGATATAATCCGTTGGGGCTGTCATTCCGGCCATTCACCAGGTGTCAAATGGATCCATTGTCCACGATCTCGCCAGTTTCCACTCTGAGACCCCAGAATTCTCTCTCTTCCGGTAACTGAATTCCGAAAATTTGCATAATAATTCCAACAGAGACACCACCAGTTAGTAATTCACCTTTTGCGGGTCCATTACCGGAGGACTGAGTCCATCCGCAATTGAACCGGCATTTTGATGATCATCTGGGCGAGTGTCATAGGGGATTCCCCCTGGGGCAACCGCGAAAGTTCAAATCTTGAGGGAGCAGATGGCGCGGCAATTGCTGGACATCGACGACCACTCCAAACACTTTGATGACAGTTCACAATTGGGAATCGATTGCACCTTTAATTAAACAATTAAGATATAACCGTAATTACAAGACTGATTAAGGGAACGTAATGGTAATTTTATCTCGGGTGATTCCTGTTGATCAATACACGAAGTTCGCGCGTTTAATTCGACTTTTGGAAGAGCGAAATGTTATTCCACTGTCTTTGGAGTTGGCTTTTCGGAATACTGTGATGGCTTGGGTAAATAAAAACACCAACTGCAATGTAATGAAAGCCTCGGTAATTCGGAGTTGCGCATTGTGTTGTTTTCGCATTATGCAACTCCAAGAGTCATGGCCAGGAACGTTTTAGATAAGATCAACACTATAAAGCACTCGGGAATTCAGAATATCGTACCGGTAATGTTGAGAGAATGTAGTCTTTATCTTTTCATGGCAGAAAGTTGGGAGATTACCGTGTGGACATTAAACGAGACTCCAATGAACGGGCGCGTTAATTTTTCAGAGAGAGCGTTTCTAGATAAGCGGATAATAATTCTAGAATTTTTTTTCTCTGCGAAAATATGATGTTTTTTTTGGGGGGATAAATGTGTTGAATGGGGGCTGTAACTTGGGGGATTTTTTTTTTCAGGATTTTGTAACGGGGTTGAGCATTTTGTCGAGGGGATCCATGGATGAGAAATTACGGTGGACATTTTCGCTGTACGATATCAACGGTGATGGGGCCATCACACGCGACGAAATGACTGATATCGTGACTGCTGTTTACGAGCTGATGGGAAAATTCTCCGATCCCAATATGGACCATGAAGGGGTCCGCAAGAAAGTGGATCGTATGTTTCAGGTATGAATTTTTAGGATCATCCAGATGTTGCTGTGATAAAAGAATTCGGTTGATGTTACCCAATGAAATGAGTTGAATCTTCTTTCGATCCGCTTGTATCAAATATGTATTCGTCCGAGGTGACTGTAAATATTATTGATTCAATAAAGTATGATTTCGTATTCAGTTGCAGGAACCCAACGGTTTTGTTTTGATGACACTCGCGAGTATTCGGTAATAGTTGGTCGAATCTCGATTGATGGAACCCGCCCTCTTGTTTATATCGTCTATTCAAAATCATCGGCTACATCCGCCTACATTCAATTCAATTATCATTTTTATCAGAATGAGGTGCACCCTAAAGCGATTTTAAATCACTCGTCAAAAATGAAGGATTTAGTAATGCCTTTTGGTTTGATTGTTTTGTGTGAATTAATTATCAAGAGCCATAACTTTAAAAAAGTGTTTCATGCACTGGAATTCGATCCTTCTAATCTGCACTGAAATGAAATTGTTATCGTGAGGATCAGTACGATACTGTCCACAGTCTACTTTATTTTTTATATTATTCCAAATCATGATTAATCATGAGCGAACAATCTGTTTTTCAGGTCAATTAATGATTCAGTAACTATTACCGAGTGGTCATTTGGCTGAGCATGCCACCGCTCAACTCAATCGTTCGGTGCCTATTAACAAATATTCAATTGCTCCTAATTCAACAGCTCCATCCAACCGAATTCTTCTATCAGTGCACTGCAACAAATATTTTTACATTATTTATTAAAAGATGTCGGTAATTATCAGGCAGTGACGCCCTATTACCTCAGGGGAACTGAAGGAATTACGTACGGATTTACGATGAATTTACAAAAATCGAATAATTCAAGTTCAGCATGTGCTTTTGGAAAGCTCTCAACCCAAGAGTCAGTTACCCACCTCAGTTTAATAGAGACGTGGTTCAGTAAGATGACAGACTTGAGTTTAAACTCAAGTGCTCTCGTATTTACCGTTGCGGTTGCTCAGGTATCGGGCACATGTGTGAGTTGCATTTCCGAGTTTCGAGTGCTCCAGGAGTTTGAGTTAGCCGTTATGTTTGTCTAGTCGTTTCGGTGAATCCCGAGTAAATTTCTGAGTTTCAATAGCCATTGTCCTGTGCCTCAAAGATATCATTCACGATAATTAGTGACATGAGACATAACAATCAAATTAATTGCCTAAATCCTCATTCTGTGAATTTAATTAATAAAAATAAAATAAATAAATAATAAAAATAAAATAAAATAAATAAAAATAAAATAAATAATAAAATCCTCACCTTGTGAATTTAATTTCAAATTTATCTTGAGTATTTCCTCAATATTTATCGATGGATAATAATTCCCGTGTCAGTTTCACCCCCAAAATTGAATAACACCCGTGGAAGTGGAATTTATTTCCCGTCCGGTTGGACTTAAATGTCCATCAATGGAATATACGCGAGCCAATGGATCATCGAGATCCAATAAACTTCGCTCCTGTGGAAACCTGATGAGAGCCCTAGGTGGGTGGAAAAAATAAATGTGTCCGGGGGATAAAAGTTTATGGGCCTGGAATACCATCGGCGAACACCAGCCCATGTAATTATCTCTGACGTGTTAATGAGAGAGCAGGGGACTCCACCAATTAAATCGCACCAATTAATTATCGAATGCGCGTTCCACAAAAATTACTAATAATACAAATTAATACACAAAATTTCATAAACAATTATTTTCAAAAGAACGATTGCTTAAATAATTAAAACTCATCGTATTTGAGATGATTATTGATTGGTTATAATTAATATTTTTAGTTTTATTATTTTTATTTCATTATTATTATTGAATGGAAATAAAAATAATAAATTGATAATTAATAAATAATAAATAAATAGATTGTTATTTTATTATTTTCTGGAGATTTTAAATAGAAAATTACAGGTGTAACTGTAAAATAATGAAAATGGGGAAAAATAAAATGGATGCGGGTGTCATATTCTCTTACTCCAAAAAATTCAGTCGAATCGAGCGAAACGCAATCACCGCTAATTAATCAACTCATCGAGAATTAAATTACGATTCACAGTCCGTAGGATCCGGCCCATTCAAACTTAGACGAGAATTTTAATTAAAAACGCCATTGTTTCAATAAATCCAGTGAAATAGGGATGAGGGATGGGGCTTTACGCTCTCATTACCCTCAACAGGCGAAATTTCAAACGGAAAATACAACCGAAATAAACATGTGGAAAAGCTGAATAAATTAGTGGGAAATAAACAACCGAATGCATTTTCACATCATCCATTGAATGTTTTTTTTTTATCTCATTTCCTCATTGGAGAATTCAAAATTGATTCATCCCATATTTTTTTTTTTCTGTCAAAGAATGCTGGGGTAGATCCGAGTGAATGGTTGTCGCGTTTTAATTGAAAATTTAATGTTGAAAATAAAAAGTGCGAACCGCGTCGTAACGTGTGCTATTGTCTCGGGTAATTCTGAACTCGAAAGCCGGAATTATTCCGCATATTGCGGGTGAATGGGGTAAAATGAAAGGAATATGTGAAATAAAAGTGGAATAAAAGGATGTGCGTCATCGATTCGGCGGGCCAATGGGCTAAAAGGGAAATATTCAGTCACTCGTTTAGTTTTTTCAGCTCGGGGATGAATTAATTTATTCCACCGGGATCTGTCACAGCTCGTGTCGTTTCAGGGATGTTTGAGATTTTAAATTCTTAGTGTTGGTTTTGTTCTTTGGGGCTTTTCTAGACTGATAATTGCGGCCTTTTGGGGGCTCTGGTGATGGTGTTGTGGGAGAAATCGAGGCCAAGCCTCCGGGTTTATTTTCGTTGGGGAATTAATGGGGTGGGGTATAATTCCCGGGTGCTGAAATTTTGGGGGTGAAATTTTTCGGATTTTTAATTAATTGGGGAATCCCGGTGAGAAGAGACATTTATCCTGAATTATAGAGATCTATTTTTGGAATTCATTCGAAGGAGTAATTCTTTTTTTTTTAGTCATTCCCATTTTTTTTTATTTATGAACAATTTGTTGGGGATTAAATTATGAATTGAAGTTGAAAACAATTTTCTTCTTTTTTAGAATAAAATTGCGGTGCGAATTGTTAAGGAATTTTAATTAATTGATTGTAGTTTCATCTCAGATAATTTTTATTGGAGTTAATGCTAGGATTTAATTATGAGAAAGAATTTTTTTCATTAGGGAATGATATTGTTTAAGTTTCAATTAATCTTCATTATGTTTTTTTAATGATAATTGATAGAATGATCTAATTTGCGCGAATTCTATGATTTAATTGTGAGACAGAATTTTTCTATTAATAAATGGTTCAATTAAAATTTCTGGTCATATTAATTATGATTTTTTAATAATAATTAAAAGAGCCAATGGTGGATGGAATTATGAATAAACATTTCGGAGGTAATATTTTGGTATTTTTCAGAAAATGGACGAGAATAAGGACGGCGTTGTGACCTTGACGGAATTTTTGGACGCGTGTCGGGCCGATCCTGAGATTTCCACATCGATGGCTGCCCTGGACACGGCCTTCTGACACAAAAAACCCTCACCGTGGACCTGATCAGGTCCATCATGAATTGAATATCGCTCAAATATTTATAAATTCACCTCCAAAAATGGAGACAACCGGACACCGGACTTTCAGCGTCGGGCACCGGTTTTTATGGAATTTTTCGCCCTTTGAACGGAGCAACGGCTGACCGACGGAGATGACGTCGTAATGTCGGCACTCAGAGGGAAAATAAGGGCTGTTACTGTTGGAGAATAGCTGAGACCTTGGGAATTTCTGGATTAATCGGGGGACACGGAAGTTTGGCTTTCTCGGATGAAACTACGAGTTGTTCTTCGGGTGACGCAAGTTTCTAGTGATTTGCGGACGACCAGGGGAATCCCAGAAGATCCACTCCGAAATATTTTTCTCCCCTTCGAAGAGAGAGATCCCGGAATTGAGAATTTTCACTTTGGAGATGAGAAATTGAGGGGAAAAAATTCAAATTGATTCTCTGAATTATTCAACCATTATCACTGAAAATAATAATTCCAAAAGTAATTGTTTTATTTAAACAACAAATCTGATTAAAAAATTGGAGTGATTGATTGTCCAGAATTTTTTTGTCGTTTGAAATCTCCGAACCGTCGGTTTTTAAATAAAAAAACTCTCGGGTTTTTGTAAAAATATTTTTATTTCGCGTTAATATGGATTTACTGACCGATTCTTTATGTCGTATTTTTGTTTTCAGGAAAAAAAGCATTTGGAGAAATGAAACAAAAAATTGTCTATTGCATATCACCATTGATATCGTTCACCACGTATGGTACAAAAATATTTGTGTACACTCGGGAAAGGGATGAGGTGTTGAAGTGGCAGAAAATATTGTGACAACCAGCATAACATGCATCAGGGATTCTTTGTCGATAAATTTCACGCGTCAATATTTCTGTTTAATATGCGAGGAATATGAAAATGGGGGGTGGTGGGGGTTGAGGACGTCCCAGTGACGAGAAAAAAATTCGGTACATATTTTTTTATTATTTTAAACCGTCAAAATTTTTTCAATAAAAAATACTCCAGGTACAGAGTAACGACTCGATTTTCGAGTCGAGTTTTCTTGGAAAATCTCCGAATCTAAGGGAGATAACGAAATTTTCGTCAAAAGCTAATTTGTTGCGCGAATCGAGAGCTGCAAAAAAGGAATTCATGAAATTTTCGCTATTTTTCTTAGATTCGGAGATATGCATCGAAAATGTACGGATTCGCTGAATTCATGTGATGTTCTTGATTTTCTTTTACGATTTGTGATTTTTTTATTTTTTTTTAATTAAAGGAATTGATGATTTGTTTTTTGTGGGATGAAATTATTGAATGGGGGATTTCCTCAATTACCCAGAGGATTCCATGTATTTTGGGGTGACGTGGGCGGGAAAATGAAAAAATCGATGCGAACGTTAATTATCGCTCGGCCGTGATGGGCTTGTTTCTTAGGGTAAAACGTAAAGCAATATGAAATATTTATTTTTGTGACTGGTTAATGATAACAAAAACCTAGCTAATGATAAGTAAACATAAGGCTCTGTGCTGCTAATGATCGTTTATCACATGCGAAAGGGAAAATCCATTAGTGATTTTTTTTCTCTCGAGACAAAACGAGAGGTGGGACGTTTACGAGGTATTCTCAACATCATTTTTCATCACTGCCTAACTTTGGGATTAAATTTATGGATTGCATGGGGGATCGAGTACATCTGATGCATCAGTTTTATTGATTGATTGATTATCCCTCGTATTTGCACTTAACGATCGTTCTCGCCCAATATCTCAAAATCCCGGACAGATAGCAAAATCTTTACGGGAACTTTTCCGTAGGAAATTTCAATGGCTATAAAAAAGGTCATTACCGCTTTTCCCTATCTCCAGAAGATTCCGAGATATTTGGCAGATCCGTTGAGTCCAATTGATTCGTTTCGATTTTTTTGGACGTGTAGTAAAATCGACGGATATTGAGCGATATCTCGAGATCTGGAGGAGATAGCAAAATTTTCGAAAAATTTTTTTTTGCGCAGAATACCAAAAGCTACAAAAAAGGTTATTACGAATTCTTGGTATCTCCTGTAGATTCCGAGATATTCGGGAAAATCTGGTGAGTGAAATGAATTTTTTAAACTTGCGTTGAGAAAATCCCTTCAGGTACCTCTTCAAGATGCATCGAAAATAATAGCCCTAGTGTTTTGAGCAGACAAACTCTCGAACCGAATAAATATCGATTCTTAGCAGCGCCTAGTAATTTTAAGAATTACGATCTAAGTCGAGATAACCCGAGATTGAACATCGAAATGTTGTCTCATATCAACTCGATCACTACCGCATGTCTTTGAAAAATATGTAAAAATGAATACCAAAAATTGCCCCCACGGAAATGACAACGGACCGCCTTGGCTGGGACTGATACGAGATGATTATTAACATCCGAGTCTCCGAAAATTAAAACAGAGGCTCGAGGTTCAATGAATTGTCGCTTTTTCCCAGTCCCGATGGACGGACCATCTCCGACGGGACTCACCTCCTAGTGTACCGATAGAGACGATAAACAATTATGAAATACTTGTCTGTAATCTACGACTTAATGTAGCACCTAGTCTACCGTCACTTATCTATCGGTCTCGATCGTTATTTTTCATCGATCCGTTACCTGGGATATTTCCGTCATTTTCCCGGGTTATTTATTGAAGCTATACTGGCGCGTAATTATATTTGTTGAACAATTACTTGGTGAGAGCAAAATGATTTTGGATAAATTTGACAGAGAATCTCAGTTATACTCAATTGAAATGATCAGTATTATGGTCTTGAATCTTCCTGAATGTACCTAGAGATACTATTAACCACTAGGAATTTAAAAGCAATCTATCTTCACTATTGCAACAAATCTTTGTCTCGATGGCTTCAACGTAGATAACTCTCTCGATAACTAATACATAGGTAGGAATAAAATGTACACATCCGCGACACGACTGGACAGGCATCACTGATAGGAGCTATTGAATATTCGTTAATAGTTACCGAACCGAGTTGATCGTTGGCATGTTCAGACAAATGACCACTCGGTAATAGTTACTGAATCATTAATTGACCTGAAAAACAGATTGTTCGCTCATGATTAATCATGATTTGGAATAATATAAAAAATAAAGTAGACTGTGGACAGTATCGTACTGATCCTCACGATAAGATTTTCATTTCAGTGCAGATTAGAAGGATCGAATTCCAGTGCATGAAACACTTTTTTAAAGTTATGGCTCTTGATAATTAATTCACACAAAACAATCAAACCAAAAGGCATTACTAAATCCTTCATTTTTGATGAGTGATTTAAAATCGCTTTAGGGTGCACCTCATTCTGATAAAAATGATAATTGAATTGAATGTAGGCGGATGTAGCCGATGATTTTGAATAGACGATATAAACAAGTGGGCGGGTTCCATCAATCGAGATTCGACCAACTATTACCGAATACTCGCGAGTGTCATCAAAACAAAACCGTTGGGTTCCTACACCTGAATACGAAATCATACTTTATTGAATCAATAATATTTACAGTTACCTCGGACGAATACGTATTTAATACAGGCGGATCGAAAAAAGGTTCAACTCATTTCATTGGGTAATATTAACCGAATTCTTCTATCAGTGTACGAACGAGAGAAAGATCATTCTGTCGAGTCGTTTGTTATGGATGACTGAGGCCAAACCCGATGAACGATAAATATGGTCCGATGGTCCAATCATAGACTATTACGAGAGAAGGTGTAGCCTAATCGTTATTCTCCGTGATTAATCGCACGATTGATCGGTTGTGGGAGAGAAATGAGAATTATACTGACGTTAAATCTGAAAGATTGGTGGAAGTGCAATAATAGGGCGATATATTTTCAGTGTAAATCGAGTGTAAATGTCATGAACTAAAAAAAAGGTGAATTACCTGTTAAATAGCTTTAAATAGAGGAAATAAAATTCATCATTCTCTTTTTTTTTTCTCTTTTCTTTCGGGCCGATGCGCAATTTTATCAGTCGATGGAGCAGAATGAAAATGAATCCCTCAGGATACGTGGATTATTATTGCGCATTTAACTATTCAGGTGTTGATATCTGTAATTGTTCATGACGAAGAAACATGTCAAATGTATTTATGCGCTCCTGCCAGACCGGAAATCGAGTGTTAAATAATTGTTTGGATGTTGATTGTTAAATGTTAGGGTAGACTATCAACAAGAATTTAAATCATACCCCAAAACGACGATAACGAGACAACTCGATGTTTATTGAATTATTGCTGATAATTTTTTATTTTATCCAGCGATTTGCCTGATGCAATTGGTCCTGGGTATTGGATGAAAAAATTTCACAGAAAAATCCACGAAATTCTAAGAAATATCTCAAGGAAATAGTACTCCACTGTTTCCTATTGAATGTATTTATGACATTTCAAGGTTTTTGTGCAAAATTATTTCATCCGTGGTAATGCAGTCACTGCCTGTCATTCGTGCGCTTGTGCAATAATATTTGCTTTTAACCGATAATTTGACGTTCGAAAATTGCGTAAGTGCTTGTCAAAAAAAAATCAATAAAACGAAAATAAAATAACGAAACATCTCTATCGAGAGAACTAAAGTCAATGGTTGCTACGTTCAAAGTCATCTTAGTTATGCCAAACCAATTATGTTATTAGTTATTGTATTACAAAAATAAACTGGGAGTATGTAACTATTTTATAAATAAAATAGATGAATTAACGTTGCAAAGTCATTTTGTACCTTTACAAAATTCGCTTTCCACTTTATTTAATGGTTCATTTTTTGGAACACGTGTGTCTGGAATTTTTACGATTCAACAGGTGGTTTTTAGTTTTTCTGATAATTGCTGGGTGACGTAGTCCCAGTACCTCCGGCGTATTCTGTCGTGTTTTTCAGATAATTCTTTGCAAAGCTGAAACAAAAAGTTTGATTTTAGCAACACATATAATTTTTCGTTTTCGTTTTCAAATTACTTTTCAGCCCTTGCAGCATAAATTATTATTATTTCACCGTAGGTTAATGAAATTTTATTAATAATTTCACCTAGCCCTTTACAATATTTTGATTTTTACGAGAACGTACCGTGAGGGCATTATTAATGTGGAACAAAGACTCTGAGGGTTCATTCTTATATCTCTCCTGGCAAATATCGATTATGCACGCCAGGAGATGATTGACACGACATCCTTTGTTGTACCACTCCTCACACTTCTTCAGGATCTTCTCGTTGTAGGCGAGTCCTCCATTTTCGTCGTGAATCAACACCCTGGGATCAACAACAATTATATAATTATTAAACATAATGACTGTTTTATTTTATCCGAGAAAATATCACTAACCCTCGGAGATAATTCCACGCACTCTCGTTTGCCTTCACCATGTCAATGATCTCCAGGGCGTAATCGACTTCCCTGTCGATGACTTCTTGTTCAAAATTTGTTGTGTGATTGAGGACAAAGTATCTTTGATTCCAGGCTGAATTATTTCTCACGTCTTCAGTCAGTAATCTCTCGACGTATTCCAATTCCTTATCGAAGAGCCTAAAAATCATTAATTATCCATTTGTTATTGATTTACAATTGATCCCATGAATTCATCAACTTTTTTTTACAAGTACTGACCGAAAAGTTGTCAACACCCACTGTCTGTGTTGCCAGGTGTGATAATTCTTGGCGTCTCTCTCCAAAATTTGAGCTGTAAACTCCAATTCCTGACTGGGATCCTGAAGCCACTCGACAATGGCTCTTCGATGATGCCATACTTGATAATTTTTCTCGTTTGAATCAATCACTGAGTCAATGTACTTCAATTCTTCCCTCAGATCTTTCCCCAGTGCCTTCAAAATATCTCGTCGATACTGCCAGACCGTATAATTCGCTGGATTTAACCAGATGCAGTCAGCAGTGAGATTAAGCGCTCGTTCTGATTTTTCCCCGGATTTTAAAATCGCCCTGAAGTAATCGTACGCATCTTTAACTAAAATCAAATCAATCAGTTATTAATAACAAATAATCGTTCTCAGTGAATAATTATTAAAATGAAAAACGCACACTTCTCTGAATACGCGATGGCAACAATCGGGTGGGGTCCATCATCCTGTGCCAGAGGTACAATATCTTTCCACTCCTCTCGATCTCTGTACAATATCCAGGGCCTGTCTTCCAGACTATCCTCGGAGCTGTCTGACATTTTACCAGGTAGATTCCAAAAACTCGAAAAAAATATTCACTCCTGCCTTCAGTGAACAGCTGACCCGGCGAGATAGAACCACTGGATTTCAATCTGGAGTGGGGGAATCCCATGAACTTCGTTCAGATAATCCCAGACAACTTCACGTACAGCATTATTATTATTTTTTCCCGCCAGTGACATCAGACGATCGTTATTTGTCGTCTTGTGTTGTTCTGGTGAGTGAATAATTTTTTGAGAGTCATGAAGAGGTCAATTACTCCGGTATTAATTACGTCAGGCGAATTTTGGATTTGAAAAGGAAATTCATGGCCTCTGGAGATGGAAAATTGATGGATACATTTTCCAGAAGTCCAGGGAACATCGGCGCCACTGCTGGAAGGTTAGGATTCTTGATTGTTCTTGTTAGTTTTGAATTATTATGAAATGTTTATAATTTTTGGGCATCAATTTTGGGAAATATTTGAAAAACCCGAATGTTTCGTTTTTTTTCTCAACGCAGAATTTAATCCCTTTAATTCAGTAATTAATAATGAGATATTATTGGTCGATTTTTGTAATTAATCGATGAGGTTTAATTGAATAATATTGTTCATTGATGATTTTCAGTGTCGCCGATGGATCTGTGATAAAATCAGAAAAAATGGGGGACGATTCTCTCTTGAAGGCCGACAACGGTGATTTAGCCTCCGATGAAGTCGTAGAAAAACGAAATTCAATTATATCAATTGTAAAAACAAAATCATTCACTTAAACACTTGTCTGAAATGAATTACCGCAGTAAAGTGGTGAGAGGAGATGAATTTACTGAAGTGTTCAGTGAGTTTTTTCGAAATATCTCGGAAACCAAGAGAGATAATAATTTTTTTATCACAAACATTTTTGTCGAGGGGAATGGGCCCTACAAAATAGTCATCAACAAAAATTTCGGTATTTTTCTTAGTTTCGGAGATATTTTCTCTTTTACCCCTTTGGTGGTAGATTCGATAGAAATAAAGTATGACTCTGATTTTCGTCGTCTTTCAGCCATCGTCAGACTCTTCGTTTATCTCTCCAAAGAAGGAACCTGGACTCACCACACCGATTTACGTGAATGATTCTCTGGAAGATGGACTCGAAAGAATCCAGGACTCGAAGCTGGACAGTGAAAAGGAGAATTGCACTCCTCCAATGGCAAAAGAGGCTTGCAACGAAGAGGCTTTCCAGGAGGTTCCTGAGGACGTGGAGGTATCAAGATCTGTGAAATCCACCCCAATGAAGGCGTCACTGAAGCTCAAGCCTCAGTCCCTCAAGGTGAACGGTACAAATCCCGGAAAATCATCTCCAAGAAAAAAAATGCCATTTAAACGAGTGCGCCCCAGGTTCCTGGAGGACTCCTCCTCCGAGGAGGACACATCGAGGACGATCTCCCTGAAGAAGTCACCCGAGAGTCTCCCCAGGCAGTCGACTTTACCGAAACCCTTGAACCAATCGTCCAGTCCAGGTCGATGGGAAGGTCCGGATCCTAAACTGAGATTATCACCTTTAGGTTTGGATCAGAAAATCACCCCGTGGATGATGTCCATTAAAAAAAATCCAGCGATGACCTCGACCCCTTCAGACCCCTCCCACCTTCAGGATCAACGAAACAGCCTCCAGTCCCTGGAGCTGGAGGTGTTGGATAAATTTTACACAGCGATGGAGAAGATCCCCACGCAGGTGCTGGAAAAATTCCCCCAGTTTGATGGAAAAGTTTTTAGCGAATTGAGAATTCTCAGACAACATATAAAAGCGAAATGCCGACGTGTGGAGAAGCAGTTGGAGTCCGTGGGCACGAGCTCCAGGTTGAGGAATTCTCTAAACGACAGCAATCAGGACCTGGAGAATTCTTCAAGGACTGACGAAAAAATAGTGCTGGAGGATTCTATCACTGACGATGAATTCGAGCCCCCGAAGGGAGAGTCGAGGCTAGGGAATTTTAAAATGAGAATAACGAGAAAAAATCCTCCACTGGGAGATCCTGGAAATTCCGGCGAGTTCCCCAGCGATGATGACCTGTCCTCATACGTTCCAGTGACTTCCGAGAGGTCCTGCAAAATGGAGGGGCCAAGAGTCAATGCTTTTGTAGTCAGGGAAACGACAAAACCATCTCCACTGCCTCCCCTGTCCCCTAGATTTGAACCTGAGGGGTTGCACTCGGATATCAGCCCTCCAGATAGTATGTCCAGGAAGCCAGAGGTGAATTCACTCTCCCCTGCACCGATAAAAAAAGGAGCTTTCCAGCTGAAGCGTCCAGTGAAGGCCCAGATGACGCTCCAGACGAAGCAGCAGCTGGAGGCCCTCTGGGAGAAGGGAAAACCCCTGAAGAGTTCCGGATCTCCACAGCAGAGGTCATCTCCAGGGACAAAATCCAGTCCCAAAAATATTTTTCCAGTAGAAAAATCCAGTCCCAAAAAGCTCTCACCAGTTGATAAATGCATTCCGAAAAATCCTTCTCCAGTGAAAAAACCAACGATCGACATCGACGAGGAAATCCGAGCCTACGAGATGATGAAAAACATGTCTCTGGATCTCGCTGACATCAGCACTGGTTTTCACTACCCAGGGAATTCCCCTGAGTCTAATGTCACGTCCAAACGAGAAACGGGATTACCCTCTGAAGTGGAGAAATTTCCCTCGGCGTCATTTAACTACGAGAAGTCCCGGAAGGCCTCTCAAGTGTCTGCAGCCTCGTCTTCAAAGTCCGACACGAGTAAAAAATCAGCAAAAGATATTTTTGAAATGGGCGATTTCCTGGGACAGGTGCACAATGATGGCGTGACTGGAGACTTCGATGGACTGTCGTACTCTCATTCCTCGGAGATGCTGAAAATATTCAGGAGGACATTCGGACTCTTTGACTTCAGGCCGAATCAGCTACAAGCAATTAACGCCACAATGCTGAAGCATGACTGTTTCATACTCATGCCAACTGGTGGGGGGAAGTCCCTTTGTTATCAACTTCCTGCTTTACTCACTAGAGGCATCACAATCGTGATTTCCCCTCTGAAGAGTCTTATTAACGATCAGGTGCAGAAGCTCATTTCCCTGGATGTTCCAGCTGCTCACATGCTGGGAGGAGCCAGCGAGAAGCACATGAATGGCGTCTACAGGGAACTTGCGAAGGAGAATCCTACTCTTAAACTTTTGTACGTAACTCCTGAGAAGATCGCAGCCTCGGAGAAGTTCACGTCGATCCTCACTAGGCTATATGAGATGGGACTGCTCTCCAGATTTGTCATCGACGAGGCGCACTGCGTCAGCCAGTGGGGCCACGACTTCAGACCGGATTACAAAAAGCTGAAGGTCCTGAGGACAAGATATCCTGCAGTCCCGATGATGGCTCTGACAGCTACAGCGACTCCTCGAGTTCGTAATGACATTCTTCATCAACTGGGAATGACCAAACCCAAGTGGTTTTTATCCAGTTTCAATCGGCCCAATCTCAAGTACATGATCACCGAGAAAAAAGGCAAAGAGGGCATCCCCAAGATCATAGCCCTGATCAAAGAGAAATACAAGAACGAGTGCGGAATAGTTTACTGTCTCTCGAAAAAAGAGTGTGACGACTACGCAGAGCAGATGAGGATGAATGGTATCAAGGCCATGAGCTATCACGCTGGTCTGGGAGACAACAAGAGATCTGAAGTCCAGGGGAAGTGGATCGCCGAGGAAATAAAAGTCGTGTGCGCCACAATCGCCTTCGGCATGGGCATCGACAAGCCAAACGTTCGATTCGTCATTCACGCAGTTATTCCAAAATCCATCGAGGGTTATTATCAGGAAAGTGGACGTGCTGGGCGTGACCTGGAAAATTCAGACTGCATCCTATTTTACAGTTACGCAGATGTCCACAGGATTCGCAAGATTATGCAGCTGGACAGGCCTCCAGCCGATGTTTATGAGACTCACATGGAGAATCTTTACAAAATGGTGGCGTTCTGTGAGAATAAGACGGACTGTCGGAGATCTCTGCAGCTGAATTATTTCGGGGAAAGGTTCAATCGAGAAAAGTGCGGGGCAGTCAAGGGCGCTATCTGTGATAACTGCAGAAATACGGATACGTTCACGGAGATCGATGTCACTGCGGATGTGAAGGCTATTATCACGGCGGTTCGAGATATCTCCACAGGCAGGGGTTCTAATATCACGGCTATTCAGCTGGGGGATGTGTTCAAGGGTGCTGATCTCAAAAAGATTAGAGACAGTGGGACTAATAAATTGGCTATCTATGGAAGGGGCAAGTCGTGGAACAAGAGCGATGTCGAGAGATTAATCCGTAAACTGATCATCGATGGTTTATTAGAAGAGGAGATGGTTATAAAAAATGATATGACTGCAGCTTACCTGAGGATTACAAAACACTCGGGTGAATTCATGCGTTCCAACTCGAAGATCATGTTCCCCATAAGGCAGTGCACAAAGTCCCAGTTGACAGTAACTGTTAGTGCGTCGAGCAAACCCACGAATATGGACCTGAAGAATCTTCAGGACGAGTGTTTCGCTGCTCTGATGAAGGACATCAAGGGATACGCCGGGGCGATTGAGGTGTCAGCTGTTTCTGTGATGAATCCAATTGCTGTAAGAGCAATGAGTCAACAGATGCCGACGACGAAGGAGGCGATGCTGCAGATTCCCCACGTGACAGAATCGAATTTTGAAAAAATCGGTAAAGCATTGCTGCACATACTGCAGGAATTCGCGGAGAAGAAGGCGACGCTGCAGGAGCTGGAGGCTATAGCTGAAGAGGAGATCGATGACGAGAGTGACTTTGAGGACGGATGGTCAGCTGCATCGACGGCTACGACTGGAGGACGAAAGAGAAAGAGCGTCGGGAGCAGGGGAAATTCAGCGAAGAGGTACAAACGAAACGGCTCTGGCTCTTCGCGGGGAAGATATTCTGCGAGGAGGGGCGCCAAAACTGCCAGGGGGAGGGGTCAGGCGAGAGGACCTGGACTCGTTGATTTTACACAAAATAAACAGTACCTTGCGGATCCACTGAGGTACGGGTCCATCTGAATCAGATGATCTCGTTTTCAATTTTTTTTTCTAGTTTCCTTCGTTGGGAGTTGGAGTCGATAATTTTTCGAACGCCGATTGGCCTCGGAGTGTATTATATAGATTAATGTGTTCGATCGTATCTTCAGACTGTTTTATATTTTTCTATGGATTAAATACATTATGAGACGTGCTATGACTGATTTATTCACAGATCTGGCTGAACTATTCGAGACTGTCTGTCTTCGTTTCGTACGTGTTTTTTTAGGAGATCCATCACTTCGTTGTTGAACTCTGGAGGAGTTGGCTTGACACCCACTGCCCAGTGGAAGATGTCCCAGTCGTTCGAGGGGATGTTAATAAGGCGATCGTAGAGGGATAACTCGTGTTCGTTGAAGTTCAGAAGGTACTTCTTCGCGAATGTACTCAGCAATAAACCGTTCTCCAGCATTCCACGTTTCCGGGATTGGTAGGTCAATCTGCAACATGTTATTTATTCGAAATGTTGCATCCCGCGTGGGGGGTACTTATAATTATTGTAGGTTCTAAAAGGGATAAATCCCACTAATAGTTTATAAGACCTGGCTCTTTTCAAATCGACATTTTCACCCTCACGTTCCACATATGGAGGAATTCCTGGCTCGTGACCCTCCGGGTGATGCAGATCGTCAAATCCCGCGGATTTTACATTCCCAGTTGTTATTGTTTTCGAAAAATTACCGGATTTAACCTAGAAATTCCATAAAATTCCGGCCGATCATTTATGTAAAAATTGATTCTAAGAGGTTCTGTGTGAATTCTTTGGGGATTTACTCACCAAATTCGTCCACAACCTCACGGTATTCATCATGAAATTGAAATGCGACGCATTAGACAGGAAAGAGGATTGACTAAAGTAGAGGCTCAGTTCTGGGGGTTTGAGTGATCCCACCGGCATTGTAGTACTTCACCTCAAAAGAGAGAAGGCGCTACATGCTCCCCTGATACATTTTTGAATTTTTCAATTCCAGCGAATGTCTCGTCGATATTCATGCTCGCCTGACAGTTTTTCAAAAATTTCAAATTTCATTGAATACCTCCTCCAATTTCCTGCTCTCCTGATACTTTTTTGAAAATTTTGAATTTTTCAATTCCAGCGAATGCCTCGTCGATATTCATGCTCCCCTGACAGTTTTTCAAAAATTTCGAATTTTCAAATTTCATTGAATACCTCCTCCAATTTCCTGCTCTCCTGATACTTTTTTGAAAATTTCGAATTTTTCAATTTCAGTGAATACCTCTTCAATTGTCATGCTCCCCTGATACTTTTTCAAAAATTTTGAATTTTCACATGTCAGTGAATACCTCCTCCATTTTCATGCTCCCCCGATACTTTTTTGAAAATTTTGAATTTTTCAATTTCAGTGAATACCTCCTCAATTGTCATGCTCTCCTGATACTTTTTCAAAAGTTGTGAATTTTCAAATTTCCGTGAATACCTCTGCAATTTTCTGATCGGTATTTTGGGAAGACGTCGATAAGAACACATTTTCACAGGAGCAGCTGTCATGGGTAAAGAAGATCGTGGGGGGGAAGTGTCAATTACGTATCAATTGATTCAATTATTTTTCTTTCGAATCGCAGAATATAATAAATTCCTCTTTTCGTCCTATTGCGACGAAACGTCCGCGGGTTTATACTGTAGAAGTATAATGAGATACGTTCCAATCGTTCCGAATATCTTAAAATAAATAATTGCAGTTAATTTCCCGATCAATTAATTGATCACTCGATTTTCTCACGGAGTAGAGGAGAGTGCAATCAAGCGGGAAAAATCCATGAGCGCTGAAGACCACTTTCCTGTGTAAAACTTCCACCGCAAAATCGCTTAGCTGAAATTAATAATTGATTATCGATTATCAATTTCGTGATTATTTCATTTACCTCGTGTGTAAGATCGCGACTCAAGCCGGAAGTACTTCGAATATCGTAAATAATATCAGCCGTTCTCTCCATCTGTAAAATAATTATTTTCCGCTGGAAATTTCGAAGGAATTATTTTAAAATTTCATTGACAATCACCTCCCCCTCGAATATTCTGACATTCTCGCACATCAAAACAAGGGGATAGAGGATCATAAGTATCCAGAGGACTCCATTGAATGATGCCAAATTAAAAAAAATACTCCCCTCGATAATAAAATTAGTTATAAAAAAATAAATTGTGTCGACGAATCCGCAGGAGGCGTAAAAAATAATTAACAAAATAGGAAACGCGTGGAAATCAGCGATTCTCTGGGATAATCTGCCGATGACAGCTCGGCCATTTCTGATAGCTGTCAAATTTTGAGTTGTCAGTCGTTGATCTCCGGGGTATAATGGAAGCGTTGGAGGCGGAATCGGCGACTTGTCGATTTTTTGGAGCGCGTCGTTCACCGATTTTAACATTGCCTTCAGAATTTTTATTATTAAACTGTACTGCAGGCAGAAACAGGAACAAATTATTGCCGATAGATTGCAAAACGTGTAATAAATCGATTCAAAAACTAGCGTAGAAACTACCAAAATTCCAACGCAAATCAATCCGTAGAGAAAAACCGTTACGAAGTAGTCGAAATTTTTTAGATTTATCTTCGGTTTTTCGGGATTTGGGCGGCGAAATTTCCGGTTAAATTCACTTAATTGATTGCCAATGTTCACGATATTATGTTGATTGATGCAAAAGGTAAGAATTGTTATTATTGCCAAGATATTTCCTAATACGTTTAGAGTTGTATCGATTGTTTTCACCACTGGGCCGTAGTTCGGGTGATTGAAGTGATCCATTTCCGGGACTAATTTCGTCAATGTCAACGTTATAAAAATGATGAGGATCAGATTGTAGACACATCCTGTCCGAGAGTACGAGAAAGTGATGATCAGGTCCTCCGGGGATGAGGATTCCACGAGAATTGAATACGGCGCGAGACCGATTAATTTAAAAATTCGCTGCGTTACTCGCAGTGCGAGGTAATTTAATCGAAAGCTTGACATAATCACGCGATCAAATTAGAAACTTTTAATTGCACGAACTTTCAATTTAAATTGTTGTTTCTATAAATTTTTCATTTACTCGCATTTTCAGAAAATTTATTTCAAAACTTGAGCCCATGGCGCACTGACACCTGAAATTATATCGCGTAATTATTTTTACATTCAATTTATCGTGGATTTAATCGGATTTTTAGTGTAATTTGTCATGAAATTCAGAGAATATTTGCAACTGCGTGTAATGCGTTTGCACGTTGACTGAATTGGCTTTGATGGGGTGAAGGTGTGGGAGAATTAAATGGGCTATTTAATTAATGAGATTTCATTGATTTTCATTCAAGGATGTTCACGCTAATGGCATGCGTTTCCATCGAGGAAAAAAAGGGCGCAGGCATTTTTCATTTTCATATTCAATTCCCTTTACTCTTTTCAATTACGAGGATAATTGTTTATTCTAATTGAATGAATAACCAATTATATTTCCATTGCAGCTTTATTAAATTAAAAATATCTCTACCGGAAAAAATGGATTCTATACAAATAAACGATTTTCTGGTGTGAATTGTTCTCTTACTCGTATTTTATTTATTTAAACTGTTTACATTTGTTCGTTTGGTAAAAAACGTCTTAACATTCGACGTGTATGCGCGGAATTTATACATCTCATCCTGTTTATTAAAGTTTAAAAAATTCTATGAAGATGGCACAACACGCTTCCTTGAATTTTAATGGAATGTAGATTTTGCGCGTGCTAACGGAAAATTGTTTCGACTGTCGGTTATACTCCTGACGTTTTTCCAGAAAACCCATCACTCGAGGTGATATTTTAATCGTGAATTCTCCTCTGTACTCAACAGATGAATAACAACTCGAGTTGTTGTGAGTAATATCTTTGGATCTACGAGAGATAACAAAATACATAAGATCACGCGTCTCACTTTTTCATTTCTTATATTTCGGTTCCTTCTGCTCTCTTCTTCTCTTCCGACTACCGTCTCGTACTCATAACAAGTTTTTTGCACAATTTTGCTATCTCTCTGTGATGTAGAGATATAATTCGTCCACCGATAAAACCAATTTGCTAATTTTCATTATGTCACTTCCTTCACATTCAGTTTCACATTCGCTAAGTAGATTAATTTTTAACTTGAATTTGATTTGAGTAACAAATACTAATGTTTTTCTTTTGATTGACTATTTACAGAAAGTAATGAGTGACGGATGAAATGATAAAAAATTGTGGACAAGCTGAAACTTATTGATAATTAATAAATTCATAGTCTCCCTTTGTTTAAAAATTCTAATTCATTCTGGTCAACATTTTCAGATCAATAATAAATAATGAATACCAATTGTGTCATGTCTGGAGTTTTTCTTGATAAACTATTTACATAATTTTTGTTCATTATTATCACTAGGGTTTCAACATTATTGATTTAAGAATAGAAATCACTTGTACTCCGATGACTCGAGGACATCAGATGACGTTTCATCACTGCTCTACCTCTCATTATAATAATTTACATTGTAATTAATTCTGATATATGATTTAAATTCATCCATTTGAGTCAATTGAGAAATAATAATTCTGCAATTACACTTGCTCACGGTATCACCACGAAGAATAATCGATGATATGATATTGAATAAATGATATTGATAAAAAATAAATCACGAGGAATGTCAATTGAAATTATGAAAATTACTTATGTACAATAATCCCCTCGGAGTGAGAGGGATAGATAATTTTCTCAACCGACAAACGAATATATCATTTAAATAAAACGCTGAGTACTTCATTCCCACGAAAGTCTGTACAATTCATGAGATAATGCAATAATACAATTCGCGAGAATTTCAGAGCTGCAGAGATTTTCCAAAATTTTCCTTTCGCAAAAAAATCCTGGGAATGATCCGTTCCCCTGAAATTTCAGACGAATGGAAATACAATTGAACTAATACCCCAAGTTCGAGTGCCACCAGTGGATAAATAAAACCCAAAGTGACAGATGTCCATTCTCACATGCGTCACGACGCGTGAAAGGTATAAAAACTAAATGTCATTGCCAGATCATCTGGTGATGAGTCCAGCAGAGATGATAATAAATATTCCTATACAAGAGACTGAAAGGGAGTTACAGCCACAGCCCAAAACGTCTCTGTGATAAAATGTGGGTGGAGGATGCTCATCCCCTGGCTTACACCACTCACCCTTCGCCTGAAGCTCAGCCTGAAAACACCATTACGTAAAAATTTTAATAAATTCCCCTGAAGACCCAAATAATCGAAAGCTCACTTGACAAATGTCCCGGCACGGAGGACAGATAATAGCCCCTTTGTGGAGCCAGCCACTCTGAATAATCCTTATCACAAGCTCTTGACCAGCATGATAACACGTGTACGTATGATTTGCCACCTGTAGACATTGAATTTAAATAGTTCCATAATAATTAATTAATTCAATTGAAAATACTATTTTACCAGATTTCTGAATGAAATTACTATTTTCAAAACGTTCGACCAAAATTTTTTATCTAGCAACTCCCAGTCTATGGGTTTCGCAGTGAAACAATTCATTTTTTTTTTTTTTTGAAAATTCGTAACAGAATAATTGACCAATTTTTCATTACGTATTCATTGCACGCACCAGTATGTGCAACCTTCCCCCTTCGCATTTATATCGATAACACCCAGATCCCCAGTGCTGCCACTGTCTCGCCTGCTTGCACGTTCTCTCCTCCCACATGTCATTCGTGTGCTCGAAACATTTGGAATGTCGTCCGTAATGTTCCAGAGCAAAATTCTTCTCAGGGTCTACAAAAAAAAAAGAAGATCGAACGATTAATCATAGCTGATTGATTGATACAGAAAATACCTGGTATCAATAACGTCGTCTGTCGTGAATCTCTCGAGACTGGCGTCCATTCCATTTTCCCCTGTTCAGAAATTCTCTAACAGACTTTATTATTTCATCTCAACCCTCGTCTTGTCGCAGGGGAAAATATTAATGAATGTGCCAGCATTTCAAGGTAACAGAATATAACCTTAAATATATGGGTAATCTTCACAGAAACATTTCGCTTTTAGTCTGTGAATCCCCGAATTTTCTATTCTTTATAAACCTCAAGGAATTGCATTCCTGTTTTTAAATATTGTATTTTTTACAGCAAAGGTTTACGTTTGCTGTGAATAAAAACAATTCGATTTATCCGTTCAAACCGAGTGTTATATTTTTCAAATCCAATTATACTTCAGAGAACTTTATTTTTTTTTATTTGTATTTGTATACCCCATTCGGATTTTTACTGAGGGAAACCATGGAAAACCTCTGCCAAGATGGCGTCCATCAACCAAGCTGCATAGGAGAATATTTTTTTCGATCACCTTCCGTTCGACGATTTCCGAAAGGTTAAAAATACCAAGCCGGACTCTAGTGATTTAACCACCTCGTCGTCGGCAATTTAAATATTGTATTCAAACACCGGGTGTTTAGTAATTACAAACTAGAGATAACGTGGCGACAAACGTACGTGGATTATTTTCATCGTAGAGGCAGTGAGATCCCCTGACGACAATTTCGTCTGCCTTCCACGCGAATTCTTGAATAAAGGGACAGTAATCCGCCAAATTAACAGAGCCACCGTATGATTCCTCCGTGCCTGGTGTTACATGAGGTATTTGGTCGAAATTCTGAAATGCAAATGTTTGGTTAATCAAGCGTTATTATTCCAACCTGGGGAATGCCAATTACCTGGTATTTTTTTGGAAGAGGTTGAGAATGATTGACTAAATTGCAGAGTGCTACGGAGCTTCTATCGTCTGTGCACACTGTGTGCAGAGGATCGTGTTTCACTTTGTTGCAGAAGGGATAGATCGATTTGCCCCTGTAACCGTATATCGTTATGGTAATCCAAACATTACAGCTATCCACAATTGTACTCACTTCATACTTTTTTCTCCTCTGATAGCGATGACAAACAAAACATATTCACAAATAATCCATATTGCAATAAAAATACAATTCGCATATCCGCGAAAGCAATACGAATCAAAAAGAACTACGAATGACTGGTTTTTTTTTTGCAAGTTTTCGATGAATATTTCTGAATTCAAACGAGAAAAATCCCGAGATATTCAACAAGAATTCGAGTGACTAGTTTTTACCTCTTCCCGGTTGACTAAAATGAATGATTAATGCAGCTCATCGCGTTTATAATTTATTGTGATGTGGACTTACGAGTGCCTGGCGGTTCTCAACGACATCCACTCCTTGCAGGATTTCATGGCGAATTCACAGCCCAATTTTCGTCCCCAGCTGAGCTCCTGGGCCATTGAATAATTAGCGCTGTACCATCCAGTGTCCTCCATTAGTGCCAAAGTTATTCGTGAATAAACTGGATTTTGGGTATGAGTACCCGTCATAGCTTCGTTCTGTAATAATAAACTGGTAATAATGGTCCTTATGCTGGTGTTATTGGTCCATCGATGGTAAAACCCACCTCGAATACCCTCTTCTCCCAGTGGGTAAGGGCCGTACCATCCTCACCCTGATCCTCTAGCTCAGCTCCTTCTAGATGAGGACACTCGAAGTGTGCACGAGCTTCCTCTTTAACTCGTGGTGTTACCATCATTTGCATTGATCTTTCAACGGTACCTCCGCGCACCTGCCACTGAGGTCTTACTACTGTTTTTATTGTACTCTCGCTCCATTGATGCGTTTGAAGTCTGCAAATTCATTGGAACACTCGGTTTTCCTCTTCAAACTTTGGTAATTGCAATTGCTAATTTCTCATCCTGCTTTTAGTCTTGGGGATTTTAGAATTAACTCTCGTCGGCGTATCACTGGTTATCAGCCCGTGGTATAGCTTATCTATTTTTTATCGCAATTATTTTTACAGCAATCGGTATGATATACTATTGTACAGTGACTTGAGAAATAAAATTCTAGCGTTGGGAATCATTTATCAATTGGGAACAATACGAGCGGCAGATCATTTTTTTTGATAGGTGAATGGATTATCTCAATAAAATAATGAATAATTCATTTGAAATAATAAATAAATTAATACGATTCACGGTGAAAATTTGAGAGTTGAGACCGCAGACCTAATGCTCTCGAAATTTCTCGACTGAAATTCATCCCAATGATCCGAGCTCCCACGAAATCCCGGACGAATGGGAATGCGATTGAAATAATATCTAACGTTCCAGTGGAGAAACAAAATCCAATGGTGCAGGCATCCACTCGTGTCAAATAACATCGCACGAAAGAAGTTATCAAATTAAAATGCAATTGATCATCTACCTTGAAAATGTAATAAATTTAAATTGAGGTGCAATTCATTAAAATCGTAGGGATGATCCGGGAAATGAGAGCTTACATCGTATTGGGCATTCGTTTTGGTTGAATAATTTTCAGAACTCTTACTTCTCATTGAGCGGTGGCTTTCCAGTTTCGCTGCGCCTAGGTGTACGAGGCTCTCCATTCTCATCCCGGTAAAATGCATAGAGGCTCACTGAAAATCCCAGTGCATGGAGTATTTCGTGTTTCACTGTACTCAGCAATGTATCCAACTCCTGCGGCTTCGTACTGATACTACCAGGACATAGGTTTGCGTGACCCGCGATTGGTCTGTAAATCCAAGATTTGTTATCAACTTTATCGATTTGTTTTTTCTCGGGTTATTGTTCCAATTATGTTATTCCGGTTGTACACGAGATTATGAAGAGATTGAGTGAATTTTCGAGAAATTAATTGAAAGCAATACGAATCAAAAAGAACTACAAATGATATTTTTTTTTTGTGACATAAAAAAATCGCTGTGATCTTGTGAAGAGGAAAGAACATTGGATGGGATTCGGGGGGAAACAATTTTCCTGGTGAGATTTTTTTTTTAATTAAGAGCTAGGGATTTCGGAAGTAGGTATTGATGAGCATGAAGAAATAATAAATAAAGTTGGATCGAGAGAAATTGTTAGAGGGAATATTTTCAATTAGCAGGAAGAAGGCCGTAGCCATGACCGTTTGCCGAGAGAAAACCGATAATAAGTTTTAATGAACGAGGATACTCCGTGGAATGATTCATTTCGTGATATTAATCAGGTTTTTCGCAATTATTTTTGATGATGAATATTATTGTGATGTTGTAAAAATCTTTTTACGGGTTAATTATCTCAGCCGGGGAGAATTAAATTGCACAAGAAGATTTGAATTATGTTAATAGGGCATTTGAATTCTTATGCAGAGCTCGTTAAGGCCACGCAATGGTAGAAAATGGCACATTGCAGTTTTCCATGCATTCACTTGATTGATAGAGGAGAGAGATTGAGAGAAAGAAGAACGGCGCTTTACCATGCTATTGAAATGGAATCTAATTGTCATATTTATGCATTGGTACTCTTTCCATGCCGAGACGAAACCTGTAAAAATTACTGATTTCCTCCTCAAAGCAATACGAATCAAAAAGAACTACGAATGATTTTTTTATTACCAAAAAAAAAATAAATAATCAATGTAATGTCACAGAAAAGAGAAAAAGGGGGGATGATAAATTACGAAGACACAACTTTGAAATTTTCAAAAGGAATACGAATCAAAAAGAACTACGAGTCATGATGAATAATTTCTGAGAAGTGGAACCGCTGTATTTAAAGGATAAAAAAAAAATCTTCACATACAATATGTAATTGTTGGAGCGAAGTAATTTAGTTTTCAGTGTTTTACCTATCGAGTGCGGCTTCCTGCTGGCAATGGGCAGCATAAGCCACGGTTAGCCCGTTGTGACATCTTTCTGACTGCAAAGCCGATACGTAAAACACAAAATCTGCACCATCTATACCCGCACCAGCTACACTACCCTTTTGGACACCGCACTTGTGACCAGTTGCATTGCACGTGCGGCAAACCTGTCGATAGAAATGAAATAATGCGTTGAATTCAATTAATTTCCCCCCGTTCGAAACGAATATCCATCACGAGTAACAGTAGAAAATAAAATAAAATTCTATCGAGTTGATAAAAATTGTACGTCTGGCACTTTTTTTTTATGACTGAATTACCATTTCAACTTACGTCAAGGTGTGACTCAGGTACTATAACTTCACCGCACATAGTAGTAGGTCGACACGTGTCAATACAGAATGTATGATGCTCCTTGACAAATACTTGACTGCTCTCACATTTCCTGGAAAATACGAATTTTTTTTTATGAAACCTCGATAGTGTTGTGAATAGAAAATGAGACAGAAGAGCTTTTACATGATTAACGAGCAAAAATGGAGGCAATAAATGGTTGATGGTAAATTTCCCATCAATTAATGACAAATTTCAGTTCTGAAAGCTAATGGAGAATTTTTTTTCCTAGAAACTCGTGATACTTCCATTTTCCATCAAACATTTGACTGAATCTGACACCTGAATCTATCAAATTCAGATGAATGGCTATTTAATTGCTGCATTACGAATTTTTGGATGTCAGTTTCGTGATTTGACTTTCGACTAGGTTTCGGTGTACTATCTCAGGATATTATTCCATAGAGGCTTGTAAATTTGTAAATGGTGGTCCTTTCAGAGCTTCTGGTGGCCTTTCGTGAGCGGACGGCTAATACACTGAGAACGGATCATGGGAGAGACATGCTTTCTGCATTAACCTGTCTTGTCAAGGCAAATGCTGAATTCTCGGGTCTCCTCTAATCATCCAACACAACGTCAGTAATTTTCGTCATTCAGCGATGCTAAGAGAGGATTTAGTGAGTCTTACACGATCAATTACTATGTCTGTCAGAAAACACTTGGTGTTTCACACGTTCCCTCACTCCCAGTTCTAATTACTATCCCATAATTACCATAACAAAAATCAAATCATTTTTATTTGTTTAGTGATAAAATTATTGAATCATCGAATGACGGAGAGGTGATGAGAACTCGTGAAGCCCCTAATAAATTCGGATGGTGCAATCGGCATTTTTTTTTTTTAATCCCAGGAACTCGGTGTCTCGTAAATCATATTCAGACTGCGTCCCGACGCGTCTCGACGGTGCGAGAAGAAATAGTTCTCGTTCTCACAAAGTTTTGTCTCGTCTCACGTCGTTTCCCTCGTCGTGTGCCACTAATTCAAAGTTCCCAAGTTATGTTAAGGGCAGAAATTCGCTTGTCACGTACACACCGTAACATTTCCCTCGGAATTTCGTAAATGATTGAAGTTCTGGGAATATTATCCAAATTTACAACTTGCCGAGTATATGACGAGTTAACGAGCTAGCTGATGGTACTATCGTATGCATGATTGGATGATCATTATTCTGTCATCGGTGGAGGAAATATTGGGCATTATATTCAATTACAATGGAGAAATACTGGGCTCACCTATAAAAATGGTAATATTCGCTGATTGGAGAAGGGATGGGTCAAGTGCTAAAACCAGTAGCTAAATAGTTCTCATTTCTGGTCTCAATGGAATTGAACTTCTGCGCGAATGAATTCGTACTTATTTCGTTCGTTAGAATATCAGAGAAATCGATTCTCATTGGACTGAGAAATTTAAAAGCAATCAACCCACCATTGACTCACAAATTACAGCGCTGAGTATCACTTCAACAGTTTTTCATGTCAATCGTGTACTTGAATGAATGGCAATTGCATAACTCTCGAGGGCATCACTGCTACAAACACTCGATGATTGATAAAAAATATTGACTCCAACACTCGGTATTTACCAATGGTAACTGAAATATTCCATAAATTATCCAGTATGTACTCGGTGGTACATGAATCGAAATTTCGATTGCTAATCATGAACATTAATGAAATATTCAGTGACAATTTTGCTTTTGGCCGGCGAACGTTTGCGCACATTAAACGTAAATATTTGTTTAATCATTCCATTAATTTCTCCATCAATTTTTTCACCGATACAATTTTTAACGGAAATATCCACGATAAATTACCGATCTCTCACGATTTAAAGTTATATAACAGTAAAATATCTGTCATTAATGAATAAAAATGACTGAACAACTTTGACTCGAACAATTTTTATACGCGGGGTACATCTGCCGGATCCATTAATTGGTATTGATAACGAGATAGTTGTTTCCACATGTCAGAATAATTTGCATGAATTTCTATTGACACTGGCAGAGGGGTTGGAGGTGCATTTGTGAATTGGCCGGGTATCGATTCAGTAAAATCTATTTTCGAGTGGCTCTCGAGGAGGGAGGGGCGATATATCTGGTGATATAGTCGTATTATAGACTGGTGGTGTTGTGGCTAGCATCGAGTCCCTCGTTATTTCCGTATCAGACCAGCCAGGCGTGTTACCTAGTGCTCGTTACCCCCTTTTCCCATATTCCATATTCCATACTCCATATTGTCACTTATACTTCGCGAAACCAATGACTCTTTCCATTTTTTCCATCCGAAATTCATCTACTCCGAGTGCGTGCAATTTTCCGAGGGATTTTTACTCTCAAATATTTTTTTTTTGGTTTGAAAATCCGCGCGGAATAGTTCAAACAATCCACGAATTTAAAAAATCGTGGGGTACGCCGAACATTAGAATATAATTGAATTCTAAAGTCCAGGGATTTCCATCATCATTATAATTAATGCCCACCGAAACAATGGGCCCGTGAACAATCGAAACTGGATAGATCATTAACTAGTGAAAATATGTGAAATTCTGGGGAATGAATGAAAATTTGGGGAATTAAAAAATTCGTTTCCATCGAGAACCCAAAATAAAAGAGACGGCCGTAAAGTCTGTCGGAATCACTCTCGCATCCAGAAATCCTGCGGCGCGAAAAGGGAGAAACAAAAATTCCCAACGATCCGTAATACTCGGGTAAAAAAAAGTATTCCATTACAAAAAACCATTTCGCTTTTCTCCGCGGAGTGGTGAAAAAAAAAAAGAATGGAAAAGGGTCTGCGGAGAGCTGTAAAGTCTCCAACAGTTCAGAAAGACACATCAAAAAAAAAAATAATATCACGGTGGCAGTTGAAATTTGTTTCATTGAAAAATATCCCAACGGCGGGTACGTGATCGCGGTGTAGATGATGTAATGTCTAATGGTACCGTAAAAATGTCCCTCTCCCGTGCACACCGTCATATACCGGTAATACAAATGCTGGGGATATGCGTCACGAGAAATTTGTCGGTGTTCTATTTTTTTTTTGATCCATCCGGAATTCGTTTTTTTTTGCCCCTCCCGGCGCTATTTTTGCCGAAAATAATGGGGAAAAATTATGAATGGAATTTTATTTCACTAAAGATGTCTTACCTATTCAGCCTTATAGTATTTTTTGTCTCGCGGACCATCAGCGCTCGCTCCCAGAAGTGAACTGCCTCGGGGAGAATTGTATTCTGAAATTAATGGAGACAATTACATGGGGATTGGTCTGGAGAAATTTCGATGAGGGGAAATTATTGCGGGGTAAATTATCTGGTTATGGATTTTTCTCAGATTTTTTTTTTCTTTGAAATTGAAGAGCAAAATTGAAAAATTGATTTTTTTTTTCGAGCACATAGTGAAATTGGAATAGGAGAAGAGAAAATAAAAAATAATAAATAAGGGGAAATTGTTGCTTAAATATTGAATTTGGTTGTGGTCACAAAAATTATGGTAATTAAAAATATATTATTGTAAAATTTCATAATCTATGAATATCTATTTAAATGCCGGACTGATTTCCTATGAATTATAAAAAAGAATGATATCTAAAACTGAATTAATTAAAGCAATAAAAATGACGGGAGGATAGGAAATATTTCAGCTGTTTCATATCCATTTTTATCTTCATTTTTTATATTCACATTCGCATTTATCGCAAAACGTATCAAACGGGTGACGCACTTTAATTGACAAATGGGAAAAACTGTGAAAGGCACTAGGATGTCGGTTAAAAAAAAAATAAAAATCCCTCAATTTGATTTTGCTAGGTGATAAACAAATTACGCCGGTATTACAGTACGAAAATATTCACCCCCGGGCAAATTCTGCACAATGCACCCGAAAATTTCAACTTGTACACAGCCGTATCAGATTATCATACGGTGCAGCTATTATGGGGAGTTAATGATAACACTGCACTCACAGAATCCTCCCGATTGAAACACGACCGGTAATTTCCGGTTATTTAGAGTGAATATCGCTGCTATACTAAGGCCAGCATAAGTTTTTACTTCTCTGGGAACCCCCACTCCACGCAGTTATCACTTGTAACCATGTCCCCCACTCCTAAAATCAATGTTAAAACTTATGCTGACTTCAGTATAGCAGTACAGCATTGAACCTGTACCGTACAAATGCCGTGAGCGAATTTGGGAAAGTAACTGGACTGCTGATGAATATTCTGATAAATATTATTATGTTGAAACTTTTTTAAAATCTATCTGACAATTTTCAGCTCGAGGATGAATCGACGCCATTTGAACAATTGAACTGAATTTTGTGAGCGCCAAATATCAACGGTAAAAAGATAAATGACAACTTTATCGTCAGCATTGAAATTTTTATTCTCGTATTTTCGTTAGGAATTATTGATGGTATATATTGTTTAATAAGTAAAGGAAATGTTATTCATGAATTTTGAGATTGAGTGGTGCGCCATCTGGGGATGGCGTCACTGTAGTAAAATTTCATTTAGAAAAATTAGATTTTGGAAAATAATTGGGAAACCGCAGAGAGAAATTGAATGATTTTTTCTTATCAAAGCTCAAGGACTGGATGAAAAATTCAACGAATCGTTGATTTTCGCTCTCCTGATTTGAAGGGATTGAGAAATGAAATTCTATATCGAATGATAAATTACCGACAACGAATTATCGCGCCCCCACTGTTTCTCGTCCAACATTTCCCTTTCAAGTTGATACGTAAAACTGCGGTTTATGGGGTGCTGGGGTGAAATAAAATATGCAGTGATGATGACGAGAATTACTTACGTTGATGAGCTCGAACTTCTCGGCGTCCAATCTGAAACAAATAATGATTACACTCACGAGTTGTTCCATATTGAAACGTAAATTTGCCGGAGGATAATTAAAACGGGGGGATTAATATTAATGATGAGCCATCAATGATTATTCCGAGAGATGCGGATTCATTAATTTAATGAGTCTGACTCGAACTGATGGTCAATATCAAAATTGGAAATGAATCCCTGAGGATCTGATGGAATTTTCCCTTCAAATAAATCTTGAATACGATTGATTAATGTTCATTGACTCAAAATATTTCATTTCATCGACAATCCTTGATGGCTCAACAATTGTTATGGGATTAGAGGAGCTCCTATGATCCCTCAAATCTGAAGGCGGACGCGCCTCAATAATGGATTCTCTGCCATCAATTGAAATCTAATGGGAATCATAAAACTCGTCACTTCCGGGCAATTTATTCTTCAATGGTTCCGAGTAGTTCATGCCTCGACATTTCATCAGATATTTAAGATACTATTGAACCGGAATATTGCAATGGTAATTCCATCGGCTGCTACTCCCACAGGAATAACTTCAAGGGGAATATCATCCAGGCGAATATCTCATTAAATATTTCTTGCACAACGGAAGAAAAATCCCCACCACTTTCCTGAATGACCGATTTCCGGGGCTGAATTTTTCAAATCCTTGGAGAAACAAGAAATGCGTATTGCATTCTCAATTTATTGGTGGATCATTTAATGATTCGCGATACATTCTCGTTAATTTCCTTCATTACGGCGACAGGGACTGTCAGGATAATTGACAACACACCCCATGAAATATCCGTAAGTTTTCAACTCTTTAATATCACGTACGACAGGTTTCCAATACATTTAACTCCGGATATAGAGGCTCAAATTATCTATTGATCCCCGCGAGTATCGCCGACGATAAAATTTGAATTCAAACGTTTGTAACTTTTGAATAATTCAATGGATGAAACACTGCGTGTGCCGTTTCAAAGGTTATTTTCCCCCCTCGAAATGGTATATAATGTTTCCAGTAACACGACTCCACGATGGAATCCACTGAATAAAAAACAGAACTAATGATTTCGATGTTAAAACTGCAGTTTTCTCCACCCGTCCAATACCCGTCTCATATCGAATCCTCAATTGTCGCGATCAGAACGATACGATTGCGATGGATTTGGTCTCATCTGAAAGTTTCAGAGCAGACCTTCAAACTGGCTCAGACCCCTAAAGATTTCACTCTGTCAATTTCTAGTTACTGAGGACCCAGTGCAGAGGCGCGACCGCCGCGGAGCGCATCAGTCACTCGTCGTCGGAAAAATTCACAGGAATTGTGTCTCATTAATTTTTATATTACAGTACGACGAAAATTCATTTACTCTAGGTGGAATATAATTTTGTCCACCTCATTTTTCCTGAGCTAAAGATATTCCAATGCAGCCACAATCAGGCCACGATATCTCATGTGTCGCTAAGCGTCCGCTGGTGGTGGGCCGCGACGGCATTTTACCCTCGGATTTGAACTCTCTAGAAAATTATAGGGGTTGAGTTTGTGGCAGTACAGGCCAAGCTAATCCCACCGTATAATTAACCACCGGCAACCGTACGAGACTCCAGCACGCCGGACGCCATAACTCATGGCTAAGCTTCCTCGAATGTGTGTATACCCCAACAATACATTGTGATGATTCTACAATTGTTGTGGACATATGCCACAAAATCTCGAGATAAAATGAATGATGAAACAGAATTCTTATCACTCCACCCTCATACCCCTCAACACCAAGCTCAAGCCACTTGGCTTTTGTCCTGACATCAGAGAAGTGGCTTTTTGTTCAGACACGTGACAATTGCTTTATATTTCTTCACCCCAGCTTTAACACTTATCCTGGAATACTTATTTCCCCAGCTGCACTTGAGACTGGTCTTCTTGAGCACGCACCGAAACTTTCGCCGCATCACAAATATGTCAACAATCTTTTCGCGATTTATGAAGTGCTGTTTAAAACTCCAAGAGCTTTTGCTGAGTTAACGATGGACATCACAACTTTGCAAATTCATAGAACGGATAGTTTATCACGCTATGCAGCATCTTGCATTGAGAGATTCTTCTCGTAACTGATTTATAATGGAGATGATGCAGATGATGATGATGATGATGATACTTTGATGCTATTCTGGTATCAATTCCCAATTTCAAAGTGCAGAGCAATTAACAGTCGTGAGTAATCCCTTTGACTTGGCAATATTTAAACACCATATCGCATGTTTGAACAAGGAAATTGGGAGCATGATAATTATTGTTTGCCACATCCCTTTTCTAGCTCGTTTGTTCCTCTACATCCCAAGTTGCCATTAATGCGGGTTGTAGCAGGTGTAGCACTTGTGTATTGCCTCAAAGGAAATTAGAGGGAGGGAGTCAAGAGGTTATTGCCGACAAATAATACGAATGGTCTTGGCTTTCATGTCGTGGGGTACACCAACATTTCTGTTTTATAGGCTTGCTTAAATGGCTAGTCATGCTCTATCTTGATATCTCGACTCCCACGTTGACCAATATGTATTGATGCATTTTATCCACCACCAGGATTACACATGCACCACGCCCTCAACATAAATGTAAAATGCTGCATACCCCAGTCATGCTATTCCCATATAAATTTTTATATCGTATCAGGTGCCCCAGGGAGAACATCCGAATTCAATGACTTTAATCTTCTGCTTCGCTGATGAAATTATGTGGTATCACCGATCATCAATTTCACCACTTTCCCTTTCTCTCAAAATCATTCGATCATTTAGTCATTTAGTCATATTTATTTCATTGATTTGATGGATAGGTTGAGTTTATTCTGTGAAAGATAGACTCTTTGAAATTATTTTTCCGGGGCGTCTCTGCTGTTTCAAAGACGAGATCGCCTTCGCATTCATTCGAAATCTTTGAGATTTAGCCACGACGTCGGATCGGTGTCGTCTTACGGGTTTTACCTTTACCATTCGAGATATTTCGAGATCGATTTTCCCTCTTTTTTTTAAAGATAAGGCTAGATGATTCAAGTGCATTTCGTTCATTTGATTCACTAATAAGTCCCGGGGCTTGAAAGGCTTTCCTGAAGTCATGGATTCAGAGGTCGGATGTAACGATGAGATCGGAGTTGAATCGAACCTGGGATTAAGAGATGAGTGACTTCGGGTGTCCCCAAAAGAATGCCAATGAGCTGGAGGGCTCTGCTAGGATTAGCTGCATTCGAGGAACTTTGAAAGCCGTTTAGTCTCGAATACACGTACCATACGGCCGGTTTTATCAGTGGCCAATCCGATTTCAAGCTTTCTCTGTTTTCAAAGATGTCGTTTTTTTCCTTTTTCAAGATTGCGATTCCCGAGTCTTCACAGCACTCGTTCAATTTTAATTGTTCGTTAATTTCTTGACTTGTCCCCCTGTCCTGGCCGTTTCGATCGGTTCTTCTATTTTCTTTCGGTTTATAATCATTATTTATTTTCTATACCGGAGTATCAACCGAGCGTCCACTAAAAAATTCTATGCATTCTGGAGCATTCCGGCGTTAGTGTTTGAGAATTCACACAGCATTACCCGGTGGCTCAAGTATTTATATACGATGGAAATGGAATTTTTCTGTTTGGGAATGGAGACAACCTCCGTGTGTGGTTGTATGAAAATTTATCGGAGGAGTCAATCGCGATTATTTCAATTTGTTGATATTTTTCGCTGAAAATTTCGATCAACTCTGAATTTTCATGATTCTCATAATTTAAATTTAATATTCAATTATCTCAAATAATCTGAGTAATTCAATTAATCAAATTGATTCAATCAACTAAATAATAACTCTGAGAGTATAGAGATGATAAAAAAATATTAATAATCGAATTGAATATTTTATAATTGATTGAATTTTTAAAATGGTGAATATATAACCAAGTGAATTAATTATGAGTGAGAAAGTCGGTAATTTTTAGGGTTTCCACTGTAGGAGGAAGCCCCAGTGACTTTTGTCGCTCCCCGAGGTCCCCAGGAGATGATAGAGTGGAAGGGGAATGCGGATGGAATTGAAACCCAACGAGATGCACAGCTCTCTGGGCTCTCCCTGGCCATTTTAAAATATGCGAGCGATCCATCACGGGATTCCACAGTACCCATTTTATCCCAGTTCCCTTCCCATCTACCATTGCCCTCCTTTCTCATGTTGCCGCGTGCTCTCCGGCTCTTACCCCAACTTCCTACACCCCCCAAAAGCAACTTCGTCTGTTGGCCAGCAACCCCTAGCTACCAGGATGCAAATGATGCACTCTCCAGAATTAAAGCGTCTGGAAGCATCCACCTGAGCAACGAGAGTTGTACATGTTGCGGTTGTACATTTCTTGTATGTCTTTTCAATTAATTAACATTTCAAATGTTGAACCAATTGCGCTTCATTACATTCTCGGGGTGATGGGTATTTACTGGAGGTGCTTGGAATTTATTCTGGGGAATTTAGGGAAATAAATGGGGTTTGAGTCAAGTTCGACTTGATGTGAATCGGGATTAATTCTGTTTGACTCGTTTTGAGTCAATGGATGACTTGATTTCATTGTCGACGAGATTCAAGTCGTCAGCGAAGACTTGATTCAAGCTGCACTGAACTTGATTCAAGTCTCCAATTCTGTTAACCCTTTAAACTTTAAAAAAAAAATGTCGTTTAAACTTGACTCGAGTCAAGTAAACTTGATTGACTCAATAAAAAATTCATCCTAAAAATCAAATACTGAATAAAATACTTTTTCACTTGATTCAAGTCGAAACTCATTTGAGGGTGAATTTCTACTTGACTCGAGTAATATTTTCCATTTTTTGAAGATGACTCGTTATGTCGAAGTGCGACAACCCTTGAATCGAGTACAAAAAGCGACACCAGTGGTAGATTAGTGCGATCCGATAGTTTCCGAGGTAACCCGAATAGTTTAATTACTTGTTCATTCCCACGGGATGTTTCGTACCCCGCACAGACTCCAAACACTCTAT